GGAATGGACTGGGAGTACGTAAGCCCAGGAGCGCCGAGCCTCCTCCTAAGGCCAGAGCTTGGCGCGTCACTGGTGTTCCGCGAGATTGGGCGGCTACTTCCTGTGATCGATGGCAAAGAGCTAGCTGGGCGGTTTCGACACTTTCAGGCACCACTGTTCAAGGTGCCGTGACTGGTTTTGAGCAAACACCTGCTGCAGGTGAGCGTGCTGCTCTTCTGCAAGCTTGTTTAGCCTCTTCTGCAGCTAACAGACCGGTGATGCTCTTGATTGACAATCAGGCTTTGGTGCGGCGGCTTCAGCGAGGCATTAGCACTGGCCGTTGGGAGGGTGACTTGCCGCTTTTCTGGCAGTGGATCAGCGGCTTATTGATTCAGGGCACTGTTTGCACTTGGATCCCTTCTCACAACAAGGTGCCTGACTGGACACCACCAGATGGTTGGATTGATGTTCATCTCTGCCGCGTTCTCAATGCGACAGCCGATGCTCAGGCATGTGAGGTGTTGCGTGACTCACGCTCCATGATCGCTGCGGCTGTGCAGCGACATCAGCGAGCCGTGGCTTGGGCTGCAGCAGTTTGGCGTCTGCAGAGGCTACGGACTTTACCTTTTTGGCAAGTCGTACTTGATCAACAAACATTCCATGCGGAATGCTAGCTGGCGCACTGTGTTTACTTCTTTTTTATTTCAGGCAGGTTTCGCTTCCTTTGAGTTTTGCTTGGAGAAGTATGGGAACTTGATTCTCGCAGATGGCATACTATGGCGTCTTAACTACTTCACTTCGGTGAGGAGCAGGTTGACGTCCGCTTACAACAACAACAACGACACCATTTACGAGGATTTGGTGTTGCTTTGAGGAATCGATTGCAGCCTGGCGCTCAGTTTGTCTCATTGAGCATATTGAGCTGTGAGTTCTTCGATTGTGAAATTCTTAGAACTTCCCAAAAATTTCAGGTCTCAATCTTCAAATGTTATGGCTAAATGTGACATGAGGTGGAGGAACGGGACACCAACTCTTTGCTACTTGATGTTGCTGCCACAGATCTTTGCCATGTTGCCCATGTCATCACTGATGGCTTAGTCGGTGCTGAGACCCGGGTTCTCCCCATCTTGGGTTTGCTCTGCAAGTCACGCCGTGAGCAATCCTTTCCAATGGATTTGCTTCAGAAAGGTCTCAGCGTTGACATTGCTGCAGCACAAGCGTCCAAAGAAGAGGACAAGACACGGATTTTGAACTCCGTGCGATGTCCGCGAGCCAGGACATGGGCGTTGGACACGCCTTTTCCAACGCAGCACCCTCGCTATGATGCCGTCAACAGAGCTTTAGCCTCCCACTTTGCACTGACCAGCATCCAGCAGTCATATCGTAACGGACAAGCGCAAGCCCCATCAAGCCTGTGGCAAGCACTACGGTCAGATGCAGAAAGAAAGAACATCCAAGTGTCACTAACAGGCTGCCACAGTTTCCGAGACCCGGACTTGCGTATTCTCATGGATAACCTGCCATCCCAACTGCAAAGTCTACGGCTCGATCTTGCCTACACTGGTTTGGAGCGTTTGGATGATCTAGCGGGTGCTTCCGGTGCTTCCTTCGGAAACGCCCTTCAGACCCTAGTGATTCGCTTCGCAGGATCTTTAAGAAGCATTTCTGGCTTGTCTGCTTTGCTTTGCCCTTCCTTGAGACGTTTGGAGCTGTGGCTGTCAGACCTTCCAGACTTAGAAGACATCGAGTTGGGCGTCAGCAACAAGGCATTGTTGAAGCTTCGTTTGGAGGAGCTTGCAGGGTAGGTTGAGGCTTGTTTTCTCACCATGTGACTACTGCACATCCCCCGCAATTTTTTCTGTGGAATTTCGAGAGCTGTTTGCTTTTGGAGATTGAAATTTGAAGGAGCTGGTCTTATATGTGAATGGCTGTCCCAGCGTACCGCGCGAATCCAAGACAGCATTGAAGCTTGGTGTGGTTTAGCTTTACCCAAAGACGTTTATGATAATGTGGAAATAATGATATTCGAAAAAATTGGAGATGACCCCATGAGAAGTTGTCATTGTTCCACATTGTTCCTATGAACGTGACAGAAAACATGTCATTCAAAATGCGATTGGCTCCAATGAATTGAAATGACAAACCGAATTTACTCAAGGTTTGCTGCCACTCGGCAGCTGAAGCAGTGCCTTCGACGCCGGCCTTACATGTGGGTTCACATCGAGGACGGTTTCAGACATGGTTTCTGTACAGTTCGATTCAATCTGGTTCAAAACACCAGCAGGTTGAAGCACGGTGTGCCCAGAAATGGCAGATGCAATGGTATGGCACTTTTAACAACATAAGAATCTTCCATTCAATGCCAGCCTGGCGCAAAAAGTTGCAACTTGCAATACGACTTGTGCCGCACCTTGTGCCGACTCCCAGGATACAAACACCTGGACGCTGAATCTCTGCCTTGTGAAGCTCAAGGCATGGAACACAGTCAAGCCACGTTGCACCGGCTCGTAACGCAAGCTGCAACGTAATGTGCAACGTAATGTGCCATGTAATTGCCACGTTGATGGTAATGTGGTTGTTTAAATTACGAAAGCCAGCTGGGAAGCTGGCTAGTTGTTATTCGCGAACGAAGTGAGGTGGGGGGAGGTAGTTGCTTCAAGTTGCAGAAAACGTCGTAAACAGGTGGTGTTTTAGGCGTGCGAAAGTTATGGTTTTGCAGGGTAACGTACTATGCGGCAAAACAGTGACGGTGGGTATCGATTCCCCCTAGGTCCGGTTGTTTTCTACGTCCATGGGTCAAAAGTATGTAGGTGAAAACACTCAGGGTGCAAAGTCTGAGGTCGGGGGTTCGCTTGGAGCGCGGAAAAGTGGATCGCTTAGAGCGCCAGAAAGTGGATCGCTTGGAACGCCGAAAAGTGACATAAGAGATACATAGCGCTAGAGTTCCATATACTGTATGCGCAGAGGCATATAGACACATAAATGGATGCGATCCGCTTTTCGGCATTACCCGACGAAGAAACGTATCAGGAACGTCTTGCAAGTTACTTGAGGAAGATGTTACAACGTATCAGGAACAGCTGGCACGTTACTTGAAGAAGAGTTTTCAACGTATCAGGAACGTCTGGCAAGTTACTTGAAGAAGATGTTCCAGCGTATCAGGAACATCTGGCAAGTTACTTGAAGAAGATGTTACGACGTATCAGGAACATCTTGCAAGTTACTTGATGAAGAGTTTACAACGTATCAGGAACATCTTGCAAGTTACTTGAAGAAGATGTTACAACGTAGCAGGCATGTCTTGCATGTTACTTGAAGAAGATATGGCAACGTATCAGGAACGTCTTGCAAGTTACTTCAAGAAGATGTTACAACGTATCAGGAACGTCTTGCAAGTCACTTGACGAAGATGTTACGACGTAGCAGGAACGTCTTGCCTGTGTGTGCACAGGAGCATGAACGTTATTACCCCACCCCACCCCACCCTACCCCACCGGTAACTGATCATGACAGAACAGTGCAGTGCCTGTGTCTGCAGGACAGCAAGAAAGATGATGAGGTTGCTGTGCCTGTGTGTGCACAGGAACATGAACGTTATTACCCCACCCCATCCCACCCCACCCCACCCCACCGGTAACTGATCATGAAAGAACAGTGCAGTGCCTGTGTCTGCAGGACAGCAAGCAAGATGATGAGGTTTCTGTGCCTGTGTGTGCGCAGGAACATGAACGTTATTACCCCACCCCACCCCGCCCCACAAGAGCAGTGCAGTGCCTGTGTCTGCAGGACAGCAAGAGAGATGATGAGGTTGCTGTGCCTGACCCCATGTCCCAGCCCCGTGTCCGCAAGTTTTGCCCTAAAGGTATCATTCTCTGGTGCTCTAAGTGATCCACTTTTTTGGTGCTCTAAGTGATCCCATGGTGCTCTAAGTGATCCGGTGCTCCACGTGATCCACTTTCCGGTGCTCTAAGGGATCCCTCAACCAAAGTCTGAGGGTGCAAAGTCTGTGGGTGAAAAGTCTGTGGGCGAAAAGTGTATGGGCGAAAGTCTGCGGGTGAAAAGTCCGTGGGTGAAAAGTCTGTGGGTGAAAAACCCGTGGGTCAAAAGTATATAAGTGAAACGGGTATGGGTGAAAAGTCTGAGGGTGCAAAGTCTGTGGGTGAAAAGAGTGTGGCTTAAAAAAATGTGGGCGAAACATGTATTGGTGAAAGTCCCTGGGTGAAAAGTATATGGGTGAAAAAAATCTGATGGCAAAAAGAACGTATATTGGTCAATAGTCTCTGGGTGAAAAGTTTGAAAAGCCTGCAAAAGAAGAGTCTCGGGGTGAAAAGTGTATAAACCTAAATATGTGGGCGAAAAGTATGTGGGTGAAAAGTATATGGGTAAAAGTCTGTGGGTGAAAAGTATGTGGGTGAAAAACGCGTGGGTGAAAAGTCTCTGGGTGAAAAGTCTGTGCAAGAAAAGTTTCTGGGTGAAGAGTCTCTGGGTGAAAAGTATACGGGTGAGAAGTATACGGGTGAAAGACTCTGGGTGAAAAGTCCGTGGGTGAAAAGTATATGGGTGAAAAGTCTGTGGGTGAAAAATCTTTGGGGGAAAATAGGGGTAGATGGGATGCTGGCTTTCGTTCCCCCCTTCTCATGTTCGTGCCACGTAATGTAATGGAACCATATGGTTTCATAATTGTTTCGTTCGTTCCAGCGGCATATTTCGAAGGCTCCGTTGATGATTTGTGCTCATTTGGTAGCTGTTGATCGATGCGATGTTCATTTTGATTTGCACAGGTGGGTCGTTCACAAAGCCACCTTGAGATAGGCGAGCGCCGTTTACAAGTCAGACTTGCTACCTTCGAACCAAACAGAAATTCGACAGGTATCGTACAGGTAGAGGTTGCACATTTAGCTTTCATGGGTGCACTTGGCTGTGTTGAGTTACTCCAGTCTAGCGGTGCATGGTTGTCTTAGCGTCATCAACAAAATTGCCAGATTCATTGCATCAGTGACCACATGTAGAAATATGTAGACATGAACTGCAGACGGTTCGCTGCAAGAGGTTCACTCACTTCACCCACGCCTCCAAGCGCAGCTTCGCTGGCCGAGATTCCAGAGTCACAAATCGAACCTCGACCCAAGGAACCCCTGGAATGCATAGCTCCAAGCATGGCTCCCTGACACCCTGAGTTCAATGGAGTATTTGCAGGCAAAATGTCTTTGGATGTCTTTGGCCAAACATGGTTGTACATGGTTGTGTTTTCTCATAAATTTTCCTCTGTGAACTAAAGGCAGGCTATCGAAGGTTCTTCCCGAATGCGTAGCAAGTGTTCCCATTTCACTCTTGGGATTTGGGGGTTGAGGGTGTGTTCGACAGACGTTGTGCAACCGTTCGCAACCGGGCTGCATCTATTTTTTTCCCCGGCCTCCCCTGCTTCAGGATCCGTTCCCGTGCCATTGCTGCGCGAAGTTCCACGGAAATTCTCATGGATACTGCAATGCTCATCGACTTGCCCGATTTTACCACAATGCGTTCTCCAGATGTCATCTCGTGCCATGGATACAGACAGATTTGCTGTCATGTTTTGCATATGTCGTGATGCAAAATTCAAGTTTTCAAAAAGAGCTGGGAATAGAAAGTATGTAACCACTGGACCACATGTCTGCAACATGTTCTGCAACATTGTTGAAGTTGTGACCCATAGGCCCATAGGCTCAAATCAACCCCAGCCAAACAGCTCCGACTCTGCTGGCATTGCGCTCTGAGGTTTTTCAATATGCAGAGCTGCTGATGATTTTCTTTGTACAAGCCACGGCTGATATCGAATCGCGGGGTTTGCTGGCCTTGATTGTCATCTCTTTGCAGCTCGCACTTGAATCACCATGCTGTGCCAATGGCCGGTCACATTTCATTACCTGTATATTTTATGTTGTAACATGTTTTCACATGGTGCTGCACATGACCATAGCTGATAGCCGTAGGTATCCTGTGCTCTGGATGAGCCTTGATCGATTGGTGGGAGGGTCGGCCACCTCAATTTGTATCGTGTTGATCTCGCTGCTCTTCGCATCTGTATCTTATGCACTGCTGCGATTCGATCAGATGCACCGAGCGACTCTGGAACTGTCGTTGGCTTCTGAAGCCATTTGCTCACAGGCACCCCATCAAAGCCAAATATGGCAAACATGTGAAATAGATGGAAATAGGGGGTACCGGAAAACCATGGAAAACCATCCAGAAATCGGCTGTTTCCGCTTACCCATTGCCAGATTACCAGAGGGATCCAGAGGGTACTGCAGTGCATCGGACAAACTTTTCTAGCAACGCATAGAGTAACTCTCTGTCCGAAAATTTCGTTTATAGTTTCAAATTATCCAAATCATGCACTCAATCCATAGTTTTACAGTTTTTCTGTGTCCGAAATTCGGAAAAACAGAGCCCTGGAGGCGATTCGTCCTGCGAACTTGTCGCACCTCTCTCTGGTCTTTGGAAGTTCCGCTGATGACTTCCCGAACACAGATTTGCGACAAAGCGAAACGGATTTGACGCTGTGAAAAAATATTTCAAAATGGTTTCAACATATTTCACGCATTTCAATTTTTCTCATTTTGTATTTGATTGTTTTCGCAAAGAAAGTGCATATTGAGCTGATAGCGGTCGTGTAGGTCTTGGCAAGCGACCCCATGCATGAGCCAAGGACAAGCAACTTCCGTCAGGCACGGATTCACTTTCTCAGCTTTCAGACGCTAGGAGAAGTTTGGACCATTCAGAATTGGTTCTTTCCAGTCTTTGCAGCCTCAAAAATACACATCCGCAGCACGACAGTGACTATCGGTCACTATTTGTCTTCTCTTTGACCCATTGCAGTCGCAAATTGCAGTGACAAGAATAATCGGTGCATAATCAGTGCATAATCAGTGCCCCATCTGTAGGCAGTGGACAGAATCACTCATCAGATCCAGTCCCTTTGAGCATCCAGATCCATCGCTTTTCATAGCAGGTGTTGTAGCTCGGGATTGCCTCAGGAATGCTCTGCGCCAAGCCCTGGGCGAAGGTGAAGTGACGAATGCTACAGCAAATGCAAAGATCAAGCGCCTCGCCGACCTTGAAACGAGTCAAGGATCTCGCCACGAGATGCCACGAGTCAAAAGCCTTGAAGTCAAGTTGTGTTCAAGTTTTATTCAGATCTGTTCAGAGTTGCTCTGTGATTTGAACATGCTCCATTCACATTTCCAGGAGCAGACCATGATGTTCTTTCTTGCGAAATCCATTGTGAATCCCTCCAGCAAGTTCAACTGGTGTGGCTTGCGCTAAGCAAAAGATTTCAACGGGAAGAAGAACCGTGGAAGATCGTGGCATTGTGGGATGGATTTGCCCAAGAAGAGGAGCGGAGATGCAGCAAGATCGTGATGTCCATGAACGGCCAGCTGGCATATCTTGGCATGTCATTCACGGCATTTGATACATTTGCAGGCCATTCAAAGCAGGACCGTTTCCCTTTATTCTTAAGTGGATAAAATATGCTGAAACCGATGATACATGTGTTGATATGTGTTGATTCATTTCCAACATAACTTGCTCTAGCTTACACATTTAGTATACAAGTAATCGTTGCTGAAGCGTTGCGAAGCTCAGGTTATTTGGCCACTGTCGTTCTTTGTGTTGCCTCCTTAACAAGGCTGCAGGGCAACCTCAGTGAACTTTGCCTTTTGGCCGATGCTTTTGGCCTCTTGGAGGATGCAAAGCCTCGAAGGTGGCTGCAACGTGACGGTCCAAATGCAAAGGGCTCAAGTTCTGGAGAGATAGCGAGTTTGCCTCGCGGCTCACAGATTTTGGATGCTCTTCTTCCGGTGCTTCTGTCACTGGCTCGTTTCATTGCTATGATCACGGCAGCTTATTTCACGTGTCAATACTTCTTTCGCTACGGCCCTTCCAGCTTGCACGAAAGCATAGATCAACTGGGACAGCATCGCTTTGTCAAAGTCGCCTTTGGAGAACGCTTTGACGGCTCATGGTGGGATGCCTTGTGCTTATCATTGCCTTATGCAGTTCTTGTAGTGGTTTTCGCACGCGATTTGCTTTGCTTTTCTGCTCCGACAGCTCAAAAACGGAAGAGCAGACAGCTGTCACAAATTGTCTATGACCGCTATTTTGGAGTTGAAGGCACCTACTACATGTTCAAAGTGGCTTTGCTACAGCTCCTGACCATTTTGCTTCAGGCGTTTGGGAAGCTTCATTTGCTCGGTGGCATTGCACTCTTTGCAGAACAACAAAGGCTCTCAGTTGCAGAATCTTTGAAGGCAGGGAGTTGGATGAATATGCAACAAACGCATGGTTAAACGATGTTAAACGCTTAATCAGGTGGATGGCTTAGCCCTGAAGGTAACATTCTGGTTGTTTTGGGCGCTATTATTTTGCAACAGCGTCTACCCCAACATGCTCTTCATTTTCCCGGAGAGTATGCGGTGTCGCTACACCTGTGCGATGCTGGACGTTTTCTTTGATCTAGGATATGTTTTGACCTACTTGGTGATGGTTGTGATCGGGGCGACCGAGTTGCATGTGAACGTGTCTGTTTGGGGTAATTTTGGAGAGCGCTCGCAGCTGGGCTTTAGCAACAGCACCTTGCCATGCATTTGGTGCTGCGATCAGGTCCTTCTGGTGGCTGGTCATGGTTTAGGGTTTTGTGGCAAAACGTTTCATGACTTGGATTGTCTCAGATTGCATCAGGCATAAGTCCCAAGTTCGCTTTCCCTGCAGAGTTCCTCCAATACATGGCAGTCTATGTGAGCATTGCTCACGTGTGCTGCGCTTGTCGTGCTGTTCAGAGAGGGCAAACGCCTGAGTTGGAAGCTGCGAGAGATGCACGCCCGAAGGTTGTCTGGGCTAATGTGAGATGTCAAACATTGGTGAGACGCTTCCTGAAGTACATCTACTCACCATGTTTGACGTCGTTGCTTGTCTACTTGCTGATCTGTCAGGATGCTTATCCAGGGCACAGAGGAGACTTCACGTGCTTCCCTTGCCGGTGTTCCGCTGGACGACTTCAAAGCTGCAGCTTGGCAGTGCAACTGCAGCAAGAGCAGCTTGTCATTGCTGGTGTCACCAGCATTGAGCCACAGGCATTCAAACCTTTGGGTTGCCGCCTGTCGCGGTTGTCCCTAGCAAATAATTCCATAACAAGCTTGGAAGCAAGAAGCTTTGAGCAACTCCCTTGCTTACAGATATTGGCTATCAGCCGGGCAAAACTCAGCATGCTGGCCAGGGACTCTTTCTATGGATTGGGGCAGCTGGAGGTGCTCTCCCTGCATGGGAATGAACTCCACAACATCTCAGGAGACCATTTATCCCATCTGCCATCCCTTGAGAAGCTTCTGCTTGGAAGCAAGACAGGCTGGAACAATGAAACACGGACAAATTACGATTTGGAAGCCGGAAACTTGATCAAGTTTTTGCCGCCCCGACTATTTGAAGGAAATCCGCACTTGATTTTGTTTGACATCAGTGGCAACAACATCACCAAAGTTGACCGAGACACTTTCGTTGGAGCGACAAACTTGCGAGTCCTGGACCTGAGTCAGAACAGCCTGCGAGAACTTCCTGAAGGACTGTGCACCTTCTCAGTGCTGAGCATATTAAGACACATAAAAAATGATGCCGTTTTGACTTCTTAAAACTGTTCTGGCAAAAAATGTATGTGCACTTCCCGAAGGACTCTTTGCTGGTCTCTCGAGTCTCCAGGATGTGTGGCTGTACAACAACCAGCTCAGTGCACTTCCTGAAGGACTCTTTGCTGGTCTCTCGACTCTCCAACACTTGGCGCTGAACAACAACCAGCTCAGTGCACTTCCCGAAGGACTCTTTGCTGGTCTCTCGACTCTCCAAGTGTTGGCGCTGAAAAACAACCAGCTCAGTGCACTTCCCGAAGGACTCTTTGCTGGTCTCTGGAGTCTCCAGGAAGTGTGGCTGCACAACAACCAGCTCAGCGCACTTCCCGAAGGACTCTTTGCTGGTCTCTCGACTCTCCAATTGTTGGCGCTGTACAACAACCAGCTCAGTGCACTTCCCGAAGGACTCTTTGCTGGTCTCTCGACTCTCCAAGTGTTGGCGCTGAACAACAACCAGCTCGGTGCACTTCCCGAAGGACTCTTTGCTGGTCTCTCGAGGCTCCAGAAAGTGTGGCTGAACAACAACCAGCTCAGTGCACTTCCCGAAGGACTCTTTGCTGGTCTCTCGAGGCTCCAGAAAGTGTCGCTGAACAACAACCAGATCAGTGCACTTCCCGAAGGACTCTTTGCTGGTCTCTCGAGTCTCCAGAAAGTGTGGCTGTACCACAACCAGCTCAGTGCACTTCCCGAAGGACTCTTTGCTGGTCTCTCGAGTCTCCAGAAAGTGTCGCTGTACAACAACCAGCTCAGTGCACTTCCCGAAGGACTCTTTGCTGGTCTCTCGACTCTCCAAGTGTTGGGGCTGTACAACAACCAGCTCAGTGCACTTCCCGAAGGACTCTTTGCTGGTCTCTCGACTCTCCAAGTGTTGGGGCTGTACAACAACCAGCTCAGTGCACTTCCCGAAGGACTCTTTGCTGGTCTCTCGAGTCTCCAGGTAGTGGCTGCACAACAACCAGCTCAGTGCACTTCCCGAAGGACTCTTTGCTGGTCTCTGGAGTCTCCAGGAAGTGTGGCTGCACAACAACCAGCTCAGTGCACTTCCCGAAGACTCTTTGCTGGTCTCTGGAGTCTCAGGATCTGTACAACAACAGCTCAGTGCTTTCCCGAAGGACTCTTTGCACTCTCCAGTCTCAACAACCAGCTCAGCGCACTTCCCGAAGGACTCTTTGCTGGTCTCTCGAGTCTCCAATTGTTGGCGCTGTACAACAACCAGCTCAGTGCACTTCCCGAAGGACTCTTTGCTGGTCTCTCGAGTCTCCAGAAAGTGAGGCTGTACAACAACCAGCTCAGTGCACTTCCCGAAGGACTCTTTGCTGGTCTCTCGAGTCTCCAGGAAGTGTCGCTGTACCACAACCAGCTCAGTGCACTTCCCGAAGGACTCTTTGCTGGTCTCTCGAGTCTCCAGGATGTGTGGCTGTACAACAACCAGCTCAGCGCACTTCCCGAAGGACTCTTTGCTGGTCTCTCGAGTCTCCAGAAAGTGTGGCTGTACAACAACCAGCTCAGTGCACTTCCCGAAGGACTCTTTGCTGGTCTCTCGACTCTCCAAGTGTTGGCGCTGTACAACAATGAGCTGAGTGCACTTCCCAAAGGACTCTTTGCTGGTCTCTCGAGTCTCCAGAAAGTGTGGCTGAACAACAACCAGCTCAGTGCACTTCCCGAAGGACTCTTTGCTGGTCTCTCGAGTCTCCAGAAAGTGTGGCTGCACAACAACAGTCTCAAGGAAGGCAGTGGCTGAAGATTTTTTTACTTTGTGCTTTAAAAAAACCTGAGATCGAGTGGGCTGCCATACATGTGGGATATGTGGCAGTTGTGGTTATATTCCTGTTGGTAAAATTTGCGCCGGTTGGTTGGCACTGCATCACCACACGGTTCCTGTCCGGCATCCAGTGCTGGGAACACCGATGCCAGGTTTCGGGTTTCGACAAGGATGACCTTCATCTGGCAACGCTTGCGCCGGGCGTCACCATGCCATGCCTTGGGATTCTCAGCTGCGCAGTTTTGGACTCCTTGTATCTCCTTGCGCTTTTTGGACTTTGAAACTTCGGAGTTTTCGTTCTGTTGGGGCTTTTTTGGGGCCCGTTTGCCGGTGCCAGACCCAGTGCCACGTTCCGAGGAAGAAGTTTGCGACGACACACCTGCACAGGTAAACGGTGGAAGTGTCAGGGATGGGACATGTGAACCACGACTATGAAATTTGGGAGCAAGCTTGACACTAGCTCTAGAACTGTTTGACCCTTTGAAGCATCCCGTTCATGGCAACATCCTTCTTGTTCTTTCAATATGTAGCTTGGATATATTTGGATATCGTCTCGCTGTTGAATTCATTGCAATGGCACAGGACCATAAGTGTAACAGTGTAACCATTAGTGACAAATACGTAACAGCATCGTAACAGCATGAGTTGAACACAGCTGTTGTAACTCACAAATCTTGTCCGTCTGAGGGTCGGTTCCGAGAGGTGCTACCCTGTGAAGCTGCAGCGGCTTCATCCAAACCTCTTGGCGAGGTGATCCTGCGGGATGCGAGCTGAGAGGCTAGGTACCAACTGGAAAGGCTGCATACCTACCAGTGGACTTTTGAACCAATTATTGTGGGGATTAAATAAATAAACCAATAAATATATATTATATATATATATATAGATAATACTATATAATATATATATATATATCTATCTTAACTATTCTTAACTTCTGATTAAATCTTAGCTTGTGGTGATGCTTACTGAAGTGTTATACCCATCTTTTCACCCCAGCTGCAGCCCGGAGTGGCTTGGCAAGTGCCCATCACGGGGTGCATCTGGAACTGGCCCAGGAGAAAACGCATCACGTGACGGAGTTCTACGGTTGTTCCGGTCACGCGCTCGGAAGTCCATTGGAAAACGTTTCAGCCAATTGCTGGGCGACCTGTTTGTATTTCGTTACTTTATTTTCACTTAGTTTGCCATTGCTTACGACGATGCTTACGGTTCAGGAATTTCCAAGACTTGACTGAGCCCATCACATCGGTTCTCAGCAGGATGAAACCGTTTTTCCCGGAAAGGTTTGACAGCAACTAAAACTGCAACGGAAACAAAACATTCAAAATGCGGCCAGGCTGCGAAGAAAGTGATTTCCGATAAACCTGATGGGTTTGTCTGCATCCGCCTGCAATTGCCTGCAGAAAAACTCTCCTGCAGAAGAGTCTCCGCTGGTTTTCCTGCTGATTTCAGGAAATCTCCTGCAACTTTTTTCCAGCAACTTGGATTGTGACTATCTTGGACTTGGATTGTGGTTGTTTACTGTATAAGCATTTCTGCATGTAGCTTCACTTATTCATCCAGATCCCCAAGCAGTTCTTGGCACGATGAAACCACGATGAGGTTCATGCTTGTAGCAGTTCTAACTCTCTTTTCAGAGGTTTCACGGCAAGGACCATGAGACTCCCTGATTGGAGTGATTTGTGTGGTCATTTGTGATGCAGGGCGCTCCAAAACTCTTGGCCAGGGTGCGGAGTGGAGGGTCTGGTTCTTCATTGAAATAATCCAGATTTCATGGCTTTTGTTTGTTGCCTTTCCTCGATGAGTATTGTCCTCGGACTCATAGATTGCGCTTCCACCGATCCAGTGATCCAGTCAAACCAAAGACCCCATCTTTACATGTTCTTCAGTGACCCCGTTGCAATATGTGTCACTTCTGTATGGACATCCGGTTACGGTTGTTTTCTTCACACTGCATGGTACCACGTTCACTAGGTCAAAGGACAATAATGAATGTCAGTAGTTGAATTATTTTCAAGCTGCTTGCCCGTGTGACCAAACTAATTTTCAGATCGAACATATATTTAAATTCCGCATGCCTGCAGAAGGAAGAACACGTCTTGGCAAGAGCATCTTGCACAAACCGGCAAGACACATTCATGGATGTGATTGCAAGGTGGATTCGAGCAATCACTCTTGGAAAAGGTCGGCATTTTTTGACCCCATGGCCCATGGCATAGATTCAAGAACCAAAGAAAAGGAAGCAGGAAAAGAAGCAGGAAAAAGAAGGAAACAAGGGAAGGAAGAACGAAGGAAAGAAGAAGAGAAAAAACATGAAATTACATGAACTTATGCAGGTTGAAATGAATCGAAACCTTTTCTACATGGATACAAGTAGGTTATTCAAAGTCTAAACTTGAAGTGAAGGGGTGTTTGGAACCCCTTCAAGGCCGGTATTGTTTATTCTGCATTCTTGATGTGATCAAAGATGTTGCCTTTGCTGTTTAGAAGGCAGTGATACGCAGTGAAATCATTGGGGTAAACAAAAAACGGGGTTAGACTAACCGCAACGTTAAACCTTGTGGTTGGAGGGTCAGGGGTTTCTAAGATTCTGGAATTCAGTAAGTGACCGCATGAACAAGACATCGCGAAAAAGGCCACGGAAGCAAAACCTCTACAGTAGGCCCCGGAAAACCTCGACATTCAAGTTACCGTGGCCTTGGATTGTTCCAGCAGCTGCGGTCCACCACGCGGCCAGTGCGTTTTTCTTTTGGGGTCCGAAGGTAAAAACATGCCAAAGGATACGTGTCAAATGCTTTCAAAGTGTAGGGTTCCGCAGCTCAGTTGACTACAATTTTTCGAGACAACTCTTTTTGGTAACCACGCATAATCGTTTCGGCGTTTTTTTTGGATCAAACGGTCAAAGTCGGCAGACAATCAATTAAAACTAACAGGCCCTGAAGCCAGGCCATGTGAGGCCCCACAGGAACAGCAAATTCAGTGCGAAACAAAACGCATAAAAACCTCGGGTTTGAGGGGTTTTGGTTGACTATGTGCGCCCCATACGAGAACTTGCGCATTTTTGTTTAAACATCCACATGTGGTGGGGCAATTTTTCCAGCTTGCGGACGAAAAAAAGAGGCAGTGAATCTTTTGAAACCATTTCCCCTGGTCGGTTTCAGCATCCATTTTGGTGGTTCGGACACTTTTCGTGTCTTAGTGCGCCATGGGGCGGCTCGCAGATGTGGCATGGCCAGACGAAGAGGACGTCCCTCTAGTTTCGCACATAGCACGTCTTAGGTCAACACTCCCCATGCCACCATTGCCCTTTGTAGACCTATTGGTTGCTAGGAACTTCGATGGTGCCATCACTTCAAGGTTCGCAAATGGGGCGGTAGGGAACAGTTGGCCTGAAGCATGAACAAGTTCCCATATGCCATGATCAGGTCAGCCTCCAGAGCACAAGCAGACAAAGTTTCTGCTCTACAGATCTTGCAGAACCCAGCGACGCCCACCGGTTTGGCACTGAGATGATAGGGGTGAGGACTTCAATGCATCACTTGTGGTTGAACAGTTCTTGCGGAAACATCGGCAGACACACATTCACATGCATATGCATGCGCATGCACGTGCATGTGCACGTGCATGTGAACTCGAACTTGTTCATGTTTCTTTGAACTCTATCACTTTATTTTTTGTCGCTGAGGGCCGTTGGGTTTTGCATGTTTCGTTGTTCCTGTCCTATCCTTTCCTTCTATCTTTCCTTTTATTCCCAAACCGTTCACGAAAACTGCCGTAATCCATTTGTCCACATTCGTGAAAACTGTTGTGACTTCAGCCCTCGACTGAATAAACCCAAGATCAACTGTGTGTTGATTCATTTGTTCCCACCAAACGTAGGCAACGGTAACATAATTTTGTCGATATTGGTTTCCCTGTTGGGTTTGAATTGGCCATAGAATTTTGACTGAATTGTCCTTAGGGTTAGTTTAGTCATGTTCAGAGTTGAGGCAGACAAGCTCAGATAGGTTCAGATGATTTGTCTTGGAATCCTTTGGCCAACTTGGAAAAGTTTTCAGCAGTTTGCAACACCCCGACATGTTTTTCGGTATGCCGAACGTGCATAATATGTACGTTTTTGCATGTTTTTGCCATTCTGTAGCAGTTTTTCTGAAATGGGCGCTTTTCATTTTGTACACTTTGTCGTGTAGCGATGGCAGGATTGGTACATTTTACAAGTTCATAGGTTTCACGAGCGATTGGTACATTTCACGAGCGATGTTTATGAGTTTTCCATGTCCTGAGCTGAGCAAAAAAATACTGCACGACCTCACACATTTGATGAGCTAGTTGATATAGTTGATATTTTGAGCTGATACATCTTCATGAGCTCGCGGATTTTATGAATTTATGAACTGATCGTGCAATTCACGCGCAAACATGCCACTACGAAAATGGATCGTACATTCCAAGAACGCAAAAAACATGAAAAGGCAGCAAACAACAATTTCATTATCATTACACTTTTGTGACACATAGTTTGCAAACATATTCTCATGACCAACAGGTTGATGTTGATACTGTCCACAAGCAACAAACAAAACAAATAGTTATGAAGCGTTGTATCAACATGCACTTGAGGAGCCACATGTGGCGGCTAAATGTTCATAATTTTCACACTGGCAATGTTGAATGTAATGTTGCAGCAAAAAATGACATGACAAATTCATGAACATTTTATCAGCAGACAATCTACACATCTTGAGCCAAAGAAACGAAAAATTGCACTCAATGTGGACAATTACGATTGATGACCATACATGCCATGATGAAGTACTGCTAATGATTCAGCGTGCATTTCATGACCCCGACGCATTTATTGAGAAGCTGTTCCATGATCATTCACTGCCAGCAGTCAAGGACTTGTGTGTGTGTGGAACATCTGAATAGATGAAAAACTTCTAACCCACTTGCCATGGTTTGAAACTTTGATTCTTGAATTTTTCGATTTTGAACATTGTCACAGCAGGGGGCAGTGACAGAGTCTGTGGGATCACTGCCAACGAAGACGCCCACATTCTCTGGTGATGCATCGGGAGACGTCCTGATGTGTACCTGC